AGCATCCATTAGCATTTATTAAACTCTCCTGTGAACTAAATGTTGGATTCTACAATGGCCAAGCCCACCCTGTCACTCCATTCCCATGCCACTTCCAGAACAAAAACATTGTTAAATAAGAGCAGTGAGGTAATCCAGGGCCAGACTCCTTCCGGCAGAACCCTAGTAAGTTACGTAATTCTATAGCCCTCAGGTTTTTGTAACAAGAATTTAAATTTTTTGACTTTAAAAAATTAGATAACGTGTAGTCATTAATTCAACAAATATTTCTTGTGTGACCACCACACCAAGACTGTTCTAGGCACTGGGGATAGAGCAGTGAATAAAACAGACAAAACTCCCGGCCCTCAGGAAGCTTGCATTCCAGGAAAGACCCAGAGAGTAAATATTTTAGGCTTTGGTATGGATAGTATTGGAATGTGGTCAGGGCAGTCCTCACTGAGAAAATAACATCTGATAAAGACCTAAAGTAGATGAACAAGGAGGTCAGGGGGTATCTAGAGAAAGAACATCCCGGAACAGGGACTGTCAAAAGCAAAATCCCAGAGGCAATAGTGTACCTGTTCTTTATGAGCCACAGCAGAGTAGACAGCTTGTCTGGAGCAGAGTAAATCAGAAATGAGATCAGAGACCAGATGACAGGGGGTTCAAACGCCATTTTAAAAACTGGTGTTTACTCTGAGTGAGATAAGGAACCTTTGCAGTTTTAAGCACAGTAGTGACCTGCTCAGGAGCACTAATTTTAATTTTTTTGCCTGAGAAACTGGATGGATGGAGAAGACTATTGGAGATTAGAGGAGGGAAAGTAAGGAGGGTTAGAGTCTCGGGTATAGAAATATTAAGTTCGGAATAGCTATTGGGTATCCAAGTCAAGATGTGAAGAAGACAATTTCTACAAGTCTCAGGATCCAAAAAGAGGTTTAAGTTCAGGATATAAATGTAAGGGTTGTCAACCCATAGACTGTATTTAAAACCACGAAACTGGTGAGATCACCAAGGGATTGCATATAGAAAGAAAGAGAAGGGGTCCAAATATTGTGCCCATGTGGCAGGAATCCAGGGAGAGGAGAAGATACCAGAAAAGGAGACTGAAAAGAGCAACCAGGAAGACTGAGGGAAACTGGAAAGAGCAGAGTTGTGGGACCCACGTGGGAAAGCATATACCGGAAGAGGGAACAAGCAGTTGCATCACGTGCACCTGAGAGTGCGTGCAAAATGAAGACTGAGAATTGAACCATTGTTTGTTTTAGCAGCATGGACACCACTGGTAGCATTGACAAGAGCAGTTTCAGTGAAGTAGTAGGAATGGGAGCTTTGCTGGAGTGAGTTTAGGAGACAGAAGGAAGAGAGAAATTAGAGATAGGGAGCACACACAGCTTTTTCAAGGAATTTCTGTGGGTTTGTTGTGGTTGCTTGCTGTTTGTGTAGAAGGAAAGAAAAATGATAACTGGAAGGGAAGCAGATCAAGAGAGGCTTTGGAGATGCTTTGTTTCAAGATGGCAGAAACAACAGCATTTCTGTGTGCTGGTAGAAAAGCTCCAGGAGAAAAGGAAAAAAATGAAAAAGGGAAAAGAAAATAAACGAGAAGGAGACAGAGAATGAATTACTGGAGCAGTTCCGGGTGGGATGAGATCTGATGCAGAAGTGTGGGGGGTGGGTGGATCAGGCTCATCCTCTGCTACGTAAAATGCTTAACCTGGTGCTTAGCACTAGTAAAGGCTCAAAAGGGACAGATATGAAGCCACCCTCTGTGACTTAAAAGGGGTTGGCTAAAATGACCCTCCAGCTCCAGTGCAGCTACAATATTCAGTAGATTAGTGAAAGTAAGTTGAATACAATAAGGGCAATGAAACTAAGACATTTAGAAGCAACATTGAATCACACTGACTAGCCTCCAGGAGATTGGTCTAAAGGTAAACAGAGATACCTAAAGGAAAGTAGGAAGAATGATGGTTGCTGTTTACATCCGATTCATCAGGTGAGTCTGCCAGAACCAGGATCCCACAAGGTCCTGGACCCCTTGTAGATGCTCTGAGTTGATTAATTAATTATCTTTGCTCTTTATAAATTCAGTAAGATGAAAAACCCCTGTCTCTTGCCTCACAAATACTGCATGGTATAATGTTATTTCCATGCTCTTTTCATGTTCTTCCACCGAATTTTATACTGATTTATAAAGGCTAAGCTGTAGGGCAGAGCTATGATAGGGAACCAGACAAAGGAAGGTGGGGAGTGAAAACATAACTGCCACTTCCACTGGGAAGAAAATGGGGTTGAAGCAACTACAATATAAATTGTGTCCTAACATTAAGAGAAACAAGTTATACTTATGAAAAATATATTAGCAAAAATGTAGTTTTCTGAAACCATTCTTTGTTACTTAATACCAGTGTCTTTTTACTATTATAGTAATTGTGCTTCGCTGAGGTCAGGTAATAAGTTTCAATGAATCTTAATTCTTCACTTGTTTCTTTTTTTTTAAGATTTTATTTATTTATTCATGAAAAACAGAGAGAGAGAATGGCAGAGGGAGAAGCAGGCTCCCAAGGAGCAGGGAGCCCAATGCGGGACTCGATCCCAGGACCCTGGGATCATGACCTGAGCCGAAGGCAGACGCTTAACCATCTGAGACACCCAGGCGCTGTTTCAATATAAATTTAGAGATAAGTTCCTTTGGAAAAAGACTTGAGCCCCCAGGCGTAATAAAATCACATTTAGGAATGTAGCAATTTGACAACACATCATTACAGAAAGAGCAACTTTTGGAAAGCATTAATAAAAACACTAAAACTTTTAATTTTACAATGGGAAACTCAAAACCAAATCACCAAAAGCATTAAAAAATGCAGGAAAGCTCTAGAAACCCACAGTCATGATCTCTCTTTTTCCCTCCCAATTGTTCCAATCTAAGAATGACGATCATTAACATGATAGAAACCATCAATTTAGCTTTTACTTAACTCAAGCCTCTGTGCCTACCATCCAGGATTATCGTTTACATTTTTTGCATATTTCAAAATTGTAAAGTTTCTTTCTTGAACTCTGCACAGTAATCTTAGTACAATGTATACGTTGTCCCTAAAGAGAAAACGGTAGACTGAAATCTTTAAGGGACCTGTGGCCCGAACATATAGAAGCTGGTGCCTAACTGCTGACTGACAATTATATCAATGCTTGCCACCTGTTGCTCAACCTCCTAATTTATCTTAGAGTTAGACGAACTATACCAAATCCAGCATACCATTTTTGGAAATAAAGTCTTATGGAACACAACCCCACTCATTTGTTTACTTATTGTCCATAGGTCCTTCCACAAGGCAAAGTTACCACATGGCCCATAAAGCCTAAAATATTTACTATCTGACCCTTTACAGGAAAATTTTACCCACCCCTGGTTTAACTAATGGCTGGTCTCCTCATTAAACAATGTTTGTTGAGCCATACCTACATTTCCAAATGGTAACGGAAGGAGGAATCAGAGTGCAGAATCAAGTCGTCACCTAAGAGTACCCAACTTCTATAAATACGTGTGTGCTGTCTTTGAGAGTGAGATTTTTTACATTTTTCATTGATTTCCTAGATTCAGAATTTATTAAATGGCTTTCTATTAGGTGACAGGTACCTAAGTAGACTTCCTTTTTAGGAAGTCATGAGAGGAAAATTTTTCCAAGTGTTTCTATCAAATGCAAATTTTGAAATTCACTTTTGCCCCCTTTCATCTATAATTTTTATAACTTTTTTCTACTTTTTACATATTCACACAACATCAAAACTTCCTAGCTCACTTTATTTTACCAGTAAACTAGGGCTTTGAAAAATATAAAAGGGTTCTTAAAAGATTAGTTATTCCTAAATTATTGTCATTTATTTTGAAATGTCAGTGGATAGCTCCTTTCCAATACCACACGTGTAAAAAAATAAATTGAGCTGAATAACCCTCCAAATGATGGTATTTTTTTCCATTGTTATTTTTTTAAAGTCCTAATTTTTGTCAGTCCTGACAAGAACTAAACATTTTAATTCTTCCAACAGAGTACCATAGTAAGTTTATAGCTACTGTGCCTTAGACAACCTATATTTAGGGAAGGAAATTTTCTAATTCAATTTACAGTGGTGTCAAGAAACAACACATATCTGCAGGCAAAGATAAGAAAAACATTCAGGGGTACACCGTGATAGCTCTACTTAAATAAATAAACTTTGGGTACTAGTGATTAGGTACACAGGATTATTATATGTTTAATTGGCTAACGTGACAATTTGGAATTACTTCTAGTCACATTTAATTGGATTTAGAATCTCTGGAGAAAAGAAATAGAGAGGCCTACCAGAAACAGTCATAAAAGTAAACTGTTTTTCCAAAGGGTGCTAAGCAATGAATTAATATTAATTGCACAATAGTTTTTAATATCCTCTTAGCTTAATAAGACTAATTCAGTGGTGGTACACACTAGATACCAAAACCAATTCAACTAAACACAGAAGTTGGGGGAGGGGAGTGTTTGTTGAATTAGAAATTTTTTATTTTTACTTTTAAGGAGGCCAATTTAATCAGAGGTGAATAATCTTCAATTCAGGTAAAGTCTGAGATATGCTTAAATAACAGTACAATAGTTAGCTATATATGCTATGCTAGGTTTGAAGGCATTTTGGAGTCCATAAAATATATGTTGCTCTATAAATGCTCTGAAGCTTAATAAGACTCTTTCATAGTCTTTAAGTATTCTTACACTGTACAAGCAGAAAAAAAAAATCTAGAAGACAAATGGCTGATTGCTTCTTTTAGGGTTTTAGTTTAGATTAAAAGAAAAATAACAGAAGACAAAAAACAACCCTTCTTTCTACAGTCTAAAATGTGCCTGGGCTTTGCTTAATATTAATCTATTCAAATTTATATATGACAAAATCTTCTTCCTCAGTATTTATATGTACTTCCTGTTATGGTTTTCCTTCTGCCCTATAAATTTGTGGGTTTTTTTTTTAATTGTCCTTGTTCTTAGGAGTGCCATGATTGCTGACTACACGTTCTGGCTCTGTGGAGGAAGTGAACAGTATATAAGCAAGCTCATCAAACTGTATTGGCAGGTAAAAATTGATGTCCCAACTAGGGAGGAGGAGTCCGTCTCATTTTTAGAACCAAAATGAAGGATTGGTGCTTAAAAGACTGCTGAAAAAGGTAGCTCTGGCCATATCAATGAGAAGGACACTACTCAGTAGTAATGTATTTATAATGAAGTAGATTTTCTGTGACTAATTTTAAGGGCAAAATTCAAGGCTGTTAACCCTTGGCCCATACTTCAGTTTTACAACCCAATATAAATTTTAGACATCCCAGGAACTATTTTCCAAAGCATGCTGCTATAATGACATGATCCTTTAAAATATGAACATTGTATATTCATAGATTCTTCTTGATCTATGACCTGTAAAACATACCCTAGAAGTAATACCAATTACATAATAAAGGAAAAATGCAAAGGTCAGTTGTATTTGTTGGGTAATATTTAGTGTTTGGGACACCTAACTAATAACAAGCTGCAGATCTTTTTTCTCATTTATTATTCAAAATGGCAGCAAGAAGTCATATCAAAGGTCAATTAGATCTCAAGAAAAGAGCCATAATTTCTTAGAATTATAAAGAGAATTAGAATTTACTGGTTCAATCTCCTTCACAATACACAAATCTTTTCATTTCCTATCTGTTCTCAGCAAATTGTCAATAACTTTCTGCTGAAATAGATCCAAATGAAGAGCTCATTTAACTCCAAGAAACAACATCCAGTTTGCTAATTATTAAACTGTTTTCCTCATGTAAAGTAGATTTCTACTCCCTTAGAACTTCAGTCCAGTGGTTCCCAGGAGGACAACATGGACCAAAAGGAAACCAATTTCCAAATGAAATTTTCTTCAAATATTTGAAAATCAACTAAAAAAGCCAAATACCTTCTCCATATCTTCTCCTCTCAAGACTGTGTGGGGCCTTTTATTCCTCGTACTTCAAGATGATTTAATTTAATTTAATATGAACCTTTCAAACCAACTAGAATAAGATCTGCTAAAACACAAATATGAAAGTGAGAAATAATCATCAATAGTGTTTTAATGCTTCCTGATTTTTCCCATATTTTTACTACTGTGTCTTGGCTCCCAGTTTTCTGTCTTTATATCATGTGTTATCTTTATTAGGCAGTAAACATTAGGTTTATCATATAAAATGCTCAATAATTTATATGGTTCCATCTAAATATTTGGAGCTCAATTTACCTACTATAAAGAATAAAGTTTTACATTAGTCCTACTATACTTGAGACCTGTGACTATTTGGGAAAAAAATGAACAAAATTTTAATCTCAAAAAATTTATTAATTTGTTGATAAGTTTAAAACTTTCCTAAGGGAATCTGGAACATGCAAAACAGTAGCAGTTACTTATAGTCATGTAATTAAATAATTGTAAAGACTTGCTAGATGTCACTGTGAATTGTGTAAGACTGATGAATCACAGACCTGTACCTCTGAAACAAATAATACAGTGTATGTTAAAAAAAGAGAGAGAAGATAGTAGGAAGGGAAAAATGAAGGGGGGAAATCGGAGGGGGAGACGAACCAGGAGAGACTATGGACTCTGAGAAGCAAACTGAGGGTTCTAGAGGGGAGAGGGGTGGGGGGATGGGTTAGCCTGGTGGTGGGTACTGAGGAGGGCACGTATTGAATGGAACACTGGGTGTTATACGCAAACAATGAATCATGGAACACTACATCAAAAACTAATGATGTAATGTATGGTGATTAACATAACATAATAAAATAAAATAAAATAAATAAATAAATAATAAAATTAAATTAAAAAAAGAATTGCTAGATGTAAAAATATAAGCAAATAATATGAGCTATAGATACAATAAAGGAAGAAGACTTTTTATTAAAGGATTTCAAAAGCTTTTGGAGAGAAGTGGGAAAGGAGTTGAATCTCAAGGATTAGCTATAACATTCAGCAAGCCTGGCATATAATAGGTCCCAAAGGAATGTTTGATTTAATTTATTCATTCACTAAACAAATAAACACTGAGTACTTACTGTGTTTTCTATATCAGACTAGGAAAAAATAGATCCAGTGTTGGTGCAACTGGTTAAGATTTACTGTAAATAATTTTTTTCTGTTTCCTTTAGCTAATATCCCCATTTTATTTACCTCAAACTAGGAAAATAATCTCCACTTACCAATACATGCATGTTTGCTATACAAAAAGGAGGAAAACAAACACTATTATTTAACTAATCTGTATTAATAAAAGATAAGAAAAACATATTTCTCCTTGTATTTTCTTTTTCTCTTTATTTTTTTAATCCCCATCTCCTATTTAACCCATACCCCCAACCCCTACTCTTCTGGTAACCATCAGTGTGTTCTCTATAGTTGAGTATGGTTCTTGGTTTGCCTCTCTCTTTCTCTCTTTTTTCTTTTCCTTTGCTTGTTTGTTTTGTTTCTTGAATTCCACATGTAAGTGAAATCATATGGTATTTGTCTTTCTCTGAATGATTTATGTCACTTATCATTATACTCTCTAGTTCCATCCATGTCATTGCAAATGACAAGATTTTATTCTTTTTATGGCTGAATAATATTCCATTGTATATATGTACCACCTCTTCTTTATCCATTAATCAGTCAATGGACACTTGGGCTGTTTCCATAACTTGGCTATTATAGATAATGTTGCTATAGTCGTCAGGGTATGTGTATCCCACTGAGCAGGGAGCCCGATGCAGGGCTCAATACCAGGACCCTGGGACCACGACCTGAGCTGAAGGCAGACGCTAAACGACTGAGCCACCCAGGCGCTCCAGGGTGCATGTATCTCTATGAATCAGTATTTTTGTATTTTTGGGTAGTAAGTATCTGGTGTGATTGCTGGATCATAGAATAGTTTTATTTTTAATTTTTTTGAGGAAACTCCATACTGTTTTCTACAGTGGCTGCACCAGTTTGCCTTCCCATAAACAGTGCAAAAGTGTTTCCCTTTTTCCACATTTTTGCCAATACCTTTTGCTTCTCGTGTTGTTGATTTTAGCCATTCTGACAGGTGTGAGGTGATATCTCACTGTAGTTTTGATTTGCATTTTCCTGAGGTTAAGTGATGTTGAGCATCTTTTCATGTGTCTGTTGGCCATCTGTAATGTCTTCTTGGAAAAATGTCTATTCATGTCTTCTGCCCATTTTTAATTGGATTATTCATTTTTGATGTGTTGAGTTATTCTTTTCCTCTTTTAATTTGAAGCAACTTGGCATATTGGAAAAGAGCCCTTGTTTGGAAGTCAGGTCTGATTCAGTCCAAGTTCTAACAAAATAGTTATCTAACCTAAGGCAAATTAGTCTCTAGAGGAACTTCAACTAGAAAATAAGAGATGACTAGTAGAAAATGTTTGAGAAGGTCTATTCTTAAAGTTAATTTTAGCACTGAAATCTAATATTTTAAACACCTCCAAAAATGATGTCACACATATTAAGATAAAAAGAAGTAACATAATTAAAAATTTCATCCGGCAGATAAATCCCATAAACTAAACCCCTCTAACTAGCCTCAATATTAGCATAACACATCATTTCCACCATTTGCATATTTCCTTATGTGAGCCTGCCTGTCCCTGGTCTTAATTTAAATGTATATATCTTCCTCCTTAAACTTTGTTTTGTCCTAAAGCAAAAGGGGCTCTTGGACATTGCCAGAGAGTGCCCATCCATGTCATCTTTAAAGACAGTTATGCTCCACCAACCCAATCTACCATGGCAATTGAATTTAAGAATGTTGAATTTACAAATACCCTCAAACATCACACACTAGAAACTGTATCTGCGTATACATTCATAAACATCCATTAAGGCTTAGACAGAGGCTCTTTTCACTACCTTTGTAAGTGATGAAGTTACTGTATATCTTCCTTTCAACCACATAAAAAAATACCTATCACTCTGGTCAGTTATTCTTCTTAGAGGTCTTAAACAAGAAATGGAAAATTTGGGGATGCAAAAATTTGAGAGCCAGTCTACACTTACTCTCACAAATTGTTGGCTTACAAATTCTTGGATACAAAAGAACAGACCTTTACTTTGGTGAGCTCAAGAACACTTTTCAATTGTATTAGGAACAGTTTTCATATCATCAACCCAGCAAGAAAAAAAGGCATAAAACTCTGCACTACATGACAGCTTACACTGGAATATATCACTCTGAATAAAAGTGTTTGTACATGTTATTCTATAATAGCATCACCTCTTCTAGAGAGCTAGAGAGCTTTGGAAATAACTTGTCACAACTGTACTTGCATGCATGCTTCTGCAACCTGATACCCAGTCTCCTATTATCAGCCACTCTCCTTTTTTCTCAAACACCTTGAGACTTCATCCCAATTCTGAGCTAATTAACAAAATGGAAAATTCCTAATCAGGCTGAGAATTAGCTATTTTGAAGCAGTGACCACTATGTATTTATACATTGCTCCTAAGACAATAATATTATTTCAAGATTTTTACAGTAAACTGTAGTCCACCTCCTAAGCCACCTGCCCCTTTAGATCCAGGACTAGATTTAATAGCATCAGGGAACAAACACGACTTCCTTTCCTGTTTCCCTTTCCTGGTTTCCCACCTTCACTTTCAGCCATGCTGTCAGCCACATGCATTGTCTGGTGTGTGGCTTTCTCTCCTGCAGTGTGAGTAAGACAGCCAACTCCAGTCTGCACTGCTCAGCAAAATGGAGTGAGAAAAGATGGTTAACAGCTAATTTTGCTGCAGAAGTCCCACAAAACAAGTGCAGAGGAGCCCCACTAAACAGGAGCAAGCTGCCTGATCAGCTCATTCTTCACCTTAATTGTTCTTTTTTAAATTTCTTTCTTTCTTTTTTGAGTCACAAAGCCCTCTGAGAATCTGATTCCATTTATAAGCATCCACCTAGAAACAATACTCATAAACATATACACAAAAAATGTGCTTACTATTTATCTCATTGCATTGGAACCCTTACACATAGAATATGAAGAATTATAGTTTTATCACGCTTATGAAAAGGTTATGAAATTTTTCTGGAATAAGAAATTGAAATATATTTGACATCACATCAATGTCAATGTTTCATTTTAATAGCAATAAGAGGTACAACCCTCTAATAGTCTCTAATAGCAATGGAATCAGAGCTCCTGTAGCTCACAAGATCTCATATGGATAGACAGGCATCAACAATAACCAAAATTCATATTACTTCACTTCCTTTGTCCTCAGGTCAATGAGATTATCTTTGTTAAGTCTTTATCATCAAAGTTATCTAAGTCAGCAATTTGTTTCAATTTTAAAGCCACTAAACAAAAAGTGACCTTCATAAGAAATAAAGCCATTTGCCAAGTGTTGATTTTTGTCCCTAGAAGCTCTCAAGACTTTGTCAGTCTCACCTCCAGTATTAGAAAATTTATATTGTTGTATGACTCCAGCCACCTCATTTAGAGTAGCAGCTTGACAAAAATAAAAAAGAAAGAAAGGAAGAAAGAGGTCATAGTTTTTCAGCAGCATCTCTAATAGTAAATTAAGCATTTTAACCAAAAGAATTGCTTCTTTTATGTGACTAAGATATCAGCCATTATAAAGCTAGTCCTGGAATGAACTTCTCACTATCAATATGTTCGAAGGAGTTTTCTTTTCTCCTAAAAAATTTTCAAGAATTAATCAAACTAAATCACTTCAAATTTCTTCTCTGAATTGCCGACAAACTTCTCTATTAAGGAAGAGCCTCATGGTGTGTTCTTGTATCTTGACAAAGATCTACTGAAAAGGCACTGATCTGAGCTTTTGGCTCTGAGGAAGTTGAAGACTTTCACAGCAACTGAAAGACCTCTTTTGGGATTGTTGGAGGGGCTGTTGATACCAATACAGGCCCCTGTAGGAAGCCTGACATGTGGAACATCTTTCCTTAGTGAAGCAGCAAAGGCTGAGGCAGTGCCAACTTCACAGATCCTCCATCTGTGCAGAGAATACCAAGACTTCCCATCCAATTCAACTTGTACTTGGCATTGAATGTTCACCATCTTAAAGATATCAATGGCCTAAATGGTTTCCAAAGAGGACTCACCAACAAGAAATTTTTCTTTGGTGAAATTAGTCTACTCTCAAAGGATAAAATCAGGAACTGGCTGTACTGAGATGCAAAAGATTTTCCCCAGCCACATGCTTGAGGAAGATAGTGCACAGTCTGTGGGCCCTAAAGCCCTTCCATCGTGTTCAGGGATTCAACAGACCGCAGGTTAAGTCCCTTGTGTACTCCTTCTCTTTGCAACAGCCCTTTTTCTTCTTGGTATTGGGCCTAACAGAAGACATTTATTGCTTCCAAAACTCAAAGCAAAAAATAGCACTGAGAATGTTCATGTCATACAGTTCCTCCTTAAACTGCACTATAGTCATTCAAGCTTGAAACATCATCAATCCAGTGTATGCAGACTACTCTTAAATTAGTGGGTACTTCTCTTCTTTACTTTCAAATTATATTTGTCATTCATCCTCATTCAGGAAATATTAATTGATCACTTATTAGTGACTGTATGTTAGACACTATGCTATGTGTTAGAAATATAGCAGTGAACAAAATAGACATTGTCTTGTCTTCAAGAAGCAGTTATGCTAGCACAAAATATTTTTTAACAAGAAAAACAGTTGGTACTTAAATTAGACACCACTTCTTCTTAGTCTGTTTTTCTTGCAAGTACTATCAAAGTGCATTGCAAATGGCGATTCAATACATATTTGTTAAATTCAATTAACGAAACTAAATACTATTTTACATTAAACTCAAACCAATAATGTCAAGAATATTTTGGAATAGTTTTTTATTTGTTATTTAAAAATTCTGTGCTTACACAAATTCGATAAGTATTTCTGTGTGTGTATGTGTGTGTGTGTGTGTGTTTTAAGTTCACAAATGTGTACAACTTTGTGCTTTAGTTGAGTTTGGGATTTATCAGAGTATTTGGAGAAGGTTGCAGATTTCCAATAGTCCCTTTTCTTTCATTGATTTCTGTGCTCATGGATGTCTCCATGCAAATCCTAAGGTCTTATATATTAGCTTCTTTCAAACATAGCAATCAAGACAGCAGCAAGCTAATGGATTTCTCTGCACTAACCGGAGAATGATACAGGATAACTTAACACTGAATGTTATTTGATCCCTTATACCAATAATGGAGACTAACTTTTTCCCTCCAGTTCTTCATTTTTCTTCTTGATATTGCAAAATTATCCCAATATTAGTCATTTACATATACCAATAATGGAGACTAACTTTTTCCTTCACTCCAGTTCTTTTTCTTCTTGATATTGCAAAATTATCCCAATATTAGTCATTTACATGATACAGATTTATGATATCTCAACCTCAGAGTAAAAATAAAATCTTCAATGTGAAATTACAGGCAAAGTAAGGTCAAAGAACCAGAATTTTTTATTATCTTTAACAAAACACCTACATATTCTGAAGAAAAATGTGTTCTTTCTAAATGCCATATAAGCATTTCTCCTAATGGCCTTTGTTTATAGTCTATTTATTTATTTATTTATTTATTTGGCCCCATCAGGCATACAGTTTATAAAGTATTTGGACAAGGAGTGTCTAAAAGTAACCCAAACTTTATTGTATTTAGTATAGATATAATTTAAGAAGCACCCAAACTCACTCATCTAAAAATATTTTTCCTATCAACTGTCATGTGTCATGCTTAAATTTCCACCATTTGACACTGAATCTCTTATCAACCCCACATCGTATGCAGAAGAAATTTTATCTGTAAATGTTTAACTCATTAATGGGTGACTCAACACAATTGGGAAAATTATTTTGAGACTTCTTAGTACCTTTGGAAACATGAAAGCAGAATCCTGAAGGAACAAGATGGAAGGAAAGGTAAACCCTGATAAGGAAAGGTGACAGAATGTTCTGAATATAGGGAACGTAGGCTGAGCAGAAGGGCTCTAGAAAGGCAATGGATATTTGTGCTTAACTCAGAAAGGAAAGAAAGCAAAAGAAAACAGACACTATAGAGCAGTAGAAAGAAGTCAGGCCTAAGATTCACAAGCTGTACCTTCTAGTTCCAATGCTAGAATTCAGTTTGGGATAAGTCACTTTCATTTCTGTATTAGTCAGCCACTGCTACATACTGCTATGTAACAAATCACTCTTTAACTCAGTGGCTTATTACAGTAAGCAGGTTGGCTTATCAGTCATGATTTGGTTGATCTAGGTTGGTCTTGGATGGACTTGGTGAGGCCTAGCTCCAAGCTGCAGAGAAGCCCAAGAATGATCCACATGTCTCTCATCCACCTTTGAACATTGGCTGCCTGATGTCTGTTCATCTTATGGCAAAGTGCAGAATTCTAAGGGAGAAAGCAAAACTATATAAGCATATTTCAAGCCTCTGTTCATACCGTGCTTGTTAACATCCTATTAGCCAAAGCAAGACATATATGGTCAAGGCCAAGGGCAAGGGGTAAAATTCTTCTGTCCACTGCAAAGCCATGACAAAGGCATGGATGTGATATGGTTATAGGGAGGGGGAAAATTGAGACCAGCAACCCAATCTGCTGGTTTACCACAACTGCTCTGGACTTTAGTTCCTGCTGCTGTATGATGACAAAGTCGGCCTAGGTCAGTGGTTCTCAAACACTGGTCTAGTGACCAACTGCATCAAAATCACTTGGGAAAATATTTAAAATATTAGATTCCCAGAGTTGGGTGAAGTTTGAAAAACTGTCTTTGTCTACTGCCCCCCAACTACGTGATTCTGATGCACAATCCTGAGCTAGATGGTCTCTAAGGCCATTTATAATTTTTTAAGTTCATGACCAACTAAGCCTACCAAAGTTTATCTAGCGCCTTGCTAGATGCAAAGGTAGAGTGTCAGAGTACCTGCACAGAAAGAATCCCTAAGCCCCAGATTCTCCCCTCAGCCCCACTATGTAGAAGCCTCCAGTAAGTGAGGCAGCCTGTACTTCCTCTTTTTAAAGGTTAACTGCTCTCCTCTTCTCTCCATGACGTAAGTCAGATTTTCCTGCCCACCTCCCATGCCCAAAGCAAACTTTTTTGCTGCCTCAGAATTCCTTCCTACATTCAGTTTTACATCTAGACAACAATGGGCATTGCAGTTGTTTTTAGTCACTTGCCTACAAAGAGATTTGTCCGTTAAGCTAGACAATATTAAGATTCTCATTTTATGAATTCTCATATTTTTCAGTTAGAAGACAGGCTCAAGAGGAAGTGTCCAAATTGAGATGAGAGGTAAAAGAGAACTTCCTTCTCTGGGTCCTGGAAAAAGATAAATGTAGAAATGAATTTCTCATCTAATTATTCATTCCTGTTTATGTATTCTTTAATGATATGTTTCCATGGTTACCAGCGTTGTTAAATGTTGCCTGTGTTTCACTTTGCTTTGATGCTATTTGAGGTAGTATGCCAGTAGGAGAGGTTCACTTTTAAATGGAAGATGTAATTGAGGCATGTGTTTGATCTAAGGTTGAGTGTTCCTGTGAAGAAGATAGTGACAGTGACATTATTTTCTGTTTGTATAGTTTAGTGTAGTTCTTCCATTGATGTTCTGTGAGTGTCCCAGGCATTAGGAAGGAAGAAAAGAAGGAAAGGAGGGAGGGAGGAAGAGATGGAGGAAAGAATCTGAGCCATACACATATTGAACTCATGTGTATATTTCAGTACGATTATATATATATTTAGTTACACTGATTTGGCCAGACTGTCAAGTAGGTGAGGTTGCTTTTTACATGCCCCATCCCTCTCTTCTCCCCACACTGTCCCTGTTCCTCATGCCACCTATACAAGCCAAGAGCCACAGGCTTCTTTCAAAAATGTGTCATGTTTTTTGGGTTTCTGACAGTTCTTAATGGAGAAGGAAGTAACCTCTAAATTTCTTTTCATTTTCTCTCATTTGAGAATGATATGGGTTTCATAGATTTAAGGCAGTTTGGGCCTTCTTTTACTTGAAAAAATTTAGGGATAGCTATTTGGTTCCCAGGAGTTCTGCGCTATTTTGCTAGGTTGTCATGAGGTTATTTTGTTTACTTAGAGACTTTGCCTTCCAGTTTAAATTTGCGGACACGTTGATTCCTTCTTTGTTTGGTTTGCGTCTAAAAATCAAAAATTGTTATGATCCAAACCAAATTTAGAGATTTTTATAGTCATCTTTTATATTTCCCATAGATTTTTATGGGTTATTGATTTACAAGCTTGCAGAGAAATTGAGGTCACTTATTTTAGCAGTTGGAGATGCGGAATAACTATTCCATGAAATCATGAAGTTTTTTAAGTTGTGTGCACCGAAGTATAAGATAATCTGTAAAGCTCAAAGCTTTTAATGTTTTTATTATATTCAGCCATTTTTGATGGCATTGCACAACAATTTAAAAATGAATTCTCCTCTTTTCTTGAATTCACACAATTGTATTTTCCTCATTAATTTTTGAAGACTGCATAATCTACCTGTACTATAGTTTCTGGTTGGATCATTTTCTTTTTCATATTTTCCAATCTCCCCTCTTCTAGATAATGAGGCCCCAGCATTTTAAATGTCTGTCTTCAACAAGTGGCATGATTTACTTTTTTTTCTAGGATCCTAAAGTAACCGTTAAACTGACCTATTTCTATCCAAGAGAGCAAAAGTGCTATTTTATAAAGAGCAATCCAAACCAGGAGTCAACAGCCTATGAGGGACAACAACCCCCAGAAAACCTTGGGAGGACTATTTCAAGCCCAAACCTAAAGAGATGCAAAACACCATAATTAGCATGGCAAGTCTTTATTTTCTTTATCCTTCATCAGATCGGGTTTGGCCTGCTTTAATATTCACATAGAAGACACAAATCAGAGATAAAACTGGAGACTGGATACATACATAACTTGGAAGTATAGTGGCAGGTCTCTTAAAGATAGCACTTCATTTCATTTCATCTAATATCATTTGAAGTTGTAGTTTGTTGTTGTCATACAGTGTGTGTGTGTGTGTGTGTGTGTGTAATAAATATTTGTATATATATTTGACAGGTCCATCACATTTTTCACAGATGCAATTATGCCCCTTCTGAGACCTCTTGATGATGAAAAGTTGCATATAGGATACCTGCCCCATAATAGCATCCTCCTGCAACCTCTTACCTCCTAAAAAATAAAAGTCCTCCAGGAGGGAGCCACAGCCTGAAAGACATTAATTACAGACAAATGAGAGAAATAAGAAAAAAGAAGAAGAGGTGTCTGGTTGCTCAGGCAAAGCTGAAACTTGAGGGAGAAAAGAAATTATGGGGCTATGGGAGTATACCAAAGACAAACTTTGAGTAATAGACCTTAGCACTATAAAGACATTTTTTGACACAACACACAGTCCCTTTTACTGGATCCCCAGATATACCATCATCCTTCCTTGGGTCTGTGTACCACCAGGGCCATGGAGCTACTAGCTTCCAAGATGACTAGTTCTCTCATTGGAAGGCCCTATTAGGACATTTTTCCTACTGCTAAGGATTGCACTTCTGCCCTCCGAAGCTTTATGGAAGCTATAAACTCATTTGTGAGTCTGCACACCATAAATGGCTCAGAGCAAGAGGCTCTGACTGAGATAGAATGACTTGAATCCCAGCTCTGTCACAAAGTAACCATGTGAACTACTGCATATTGTATCATGTAAAAACAGAGTTTTCCTAATCTTTAAAATGGGATAATGCGGAATGCCTGCATGGCGTAGTCAATTAAGCGTCTGCCTTTGGCTCAGGTCATAATCCCAGGGTCCTGGGATCAAGCCCTATGTCTTCCTCCCTGCTCAGCAGGGAGTCTTCTTCTCCTTCTGCCATTCCCCCTACTCATATGCACTCTCTCTCTCTCTCTCTCTCTCTCTCTCTCCCTCCCTCAAATAAATAAATAAAAACCTTAAATAAAATAAAATGGGATAATGCCTGTTTTCCAGTGTTGCCTTAACAAGTAAAGAGAATAATATATCTACAGCACTTAGCCAATGCCCAGGAACACTCACTTAATTGATAAATGAGTGTTACAGATTTATCAGTGAATTAAATGAAGTCTACAACAGTAGGTTGCTCTCTGATGACAGAAAATTAGTCCCTACAACTTATGTCTTGTCTCCAAAGTAACATACTTGGATTCTTTCAACTTCTCCAAAATACAGTTTTTTGAGGGCATCCTAGACTTCTCCACTCAAACGTGTCTTGCATAGTAGCCTAAGAGATAAAATAAATGGTGGAAAAAGCAGTTCACGTCTAGGAACCAGGTTACCAGGTTCTTGTCCCAATTCTGCCGTTAATCAGCTTCGTGCACCAGCAAGCCCAGTCTAAAACCATCAGTCAAGAAATACAATCAGAAAACAATACAGTTAGGGAAAAGAATATCTACCTTCTATAATTAAACTAAATATAGAGAAGAAATGTACAATGACAAAAAAGGGTCCCAAACTGTGTTGACATTTACCACTGAACACAGAGGCTAAAGCCCATTACTAATACCCATTTGTGCTTATGAAATAATTACAGGTAATGTAGCTATTTATTCCTGTGATACCTTTTGGTGATTCATTTTAAATCATCAAGAATGAAAGCTCTGTGGCATCCTGAAGAGTCTGGAGGCTGCTGAAACCCACACTTGTAACTCTGAGTTTCTATCAGCTGGTATTTCTCTAATGTGCAAGCAGAAAATTATTCAGGGTCTTTAGAACAAGAATGTACTTTAAATTCTATTTATAAATTATATGTGCTTTGCCATTAAATAAGCTAGACCAACCCAAGCACATTATTATTTAAGCTGCCTTATCAAGAAGGCTTTCATTTAGTTTTTGTGAATGTTTCTCTTTGAGACAGGCATGCTTATTGATAGCATTCCTTAAATCCAATGAGGGGCTGGTGGGCAAAACAGTCTTATTGTGGCCAGTAGGTGTGAAGGAGGAATATTCTGTTTTGTGTTAAGAGTTATTGTTGTGAAGAGGATCTTGACCTGCTTTAGGTTTGGTGTGGTCTATTTGTTTCTCTGTTAGAGTTAGAGTCAAGTTCTTATTGTCTTTGAAGACAGGAATATGACAGTTAT